TTGAAATCCAAAATCCTACAAAAAAGATTACATATCTTGGCCAAATAGAATTTATCCAAAGTAGGTAAGCTTCCTTTATATGTATAATTTAGATATATCTACGTGTATATATATATGTGTAATTTAGATATACAATATTAGATATATAGTATTTGTATAATTTATATTTTCTGTATAATTTAGATATTAAACTAAAGAAGATGGAAACATTAAAACAGGTTACTAGATCAATAAGAGATACTTGAAAAAAATTCAAGGCCCATTTTTGCTGATAATGCAGCACAAATTAGAAATAGTAGGGTATATCCTAAATATAAAATGTATCTATGAAAAACGTACAGTTACAATGGTAATAACAATAAGGCAGAAGGTAAGCATAGCAACCTCAAAACTTCTATTCAATACTGAATATTTTTAAGATGTCAGTTTTTCCAAAATTAATCTATAGATTCAACATTATAATCAAAATATCTTTAGGATTTCTTTAAAAACTCAAAATAACTCTAAATTCATAAAGTCAAAGGGACTAGAATAACTGAACGCGATTTCTAAAAGAAGAGAAAAGTTGAAGGACATTTCAACATTATAAAGACACAGAACTGAAAAAGAGTATTATTGCCATAAAAATAAATGCATAAGTGGTACAGCCCAGAGTCTTCACAATCAGATCTTCACATATGATATACTTCCGGTTAAGAAAGGTGCAAAGACAATTTATTAGTGAAAGAATGGTCTTTAAAAAATGATGCTGCAGCCGGGGATCTAGCTCAGTGGTTCTGCCGCCTGCCTCACAAGTGCAAGGTCCTGAGTTCGATGCTCAGTACCAAAATAAATAAATAAAAATAAAATAAATAAATATCAAAATATTATCTAAAATGTACCAATGAAAGAAATTAAGCAAAAAAAAAAAAATGTTGCTGCATTAGTACAACCTACATGCAAAAACGGAATTCCAGTTCATGATTCATACATATATACATATAAAAATTAACTTCAAATGGATCACAGTCACAAATGAAAATTGTAAAACTGGAAAACTGTAGCAAAAAATATACAAGACAATTTTGTGGCCTTAGATATATATCTCTCAAATATGACATCAAAAGCATGATTCATAAAATGATACATAAATTAAAATTCAAAGCCAAATTCTCTTCAAAAGACAGAGACATACAAAGACAAATTTCACTCAGAGAAAATATTTCCAAATTATGTTTGATGAATGATTTATAGCCAAAAATATAGAGAAGATATTCAGAATTCAATAATAAACAGCCTAACACATAATGGGAAAAAAGATTTGAACAGATATCTCATTAAGGAAGATAAATGAATGGCTGATAGGCATATAAGAATGAGTTTAAAGTAATTATTCTTAGGGAAATGCAAATTTAAATTACAATGAGAACCTATAATATACCTATTAGAGTGGCCACAACGGGCAAAACTTTCTATACCCAGTGGTAGTGGAGATATGCTGGAATTACAGAGGATAATATTCATTTAATGCAAAAGATAGTGAAGGAAGAATGCAGGAACCAAAAGCACATGAGACAGAAAACAATACACCATATTGTGGAAACTTTCTACATCAAAAGTTAAGGTACAAACTGACTTGTTCTTTTAAAATGTGTGCTTCAAATTCTATTTAGTGCTATATTCCATAACGTAATTTACTGCCAATGATGACTGATTAGATCATATCCATGTTTCTGTTATTATAAACACTACTGTAGTGAACATCCTCATAGAGGATGAAGAGCTGGTTGTAGCTAAGTCAATACAGCTGAGATCTAGATGTTTACCTGGACACACTCTATAGATTAAAAGAAGCAGATGGATCTTCCATTAACTTAATTAAGCCAAGTTGTTCATGTCAGGCTGGTTGTAATGTGAGGGTCCACTGTACTCTCTATTTTCCTATTGTGTCCTCTAGGTAGTAATTCACAAATTGTTTATCTGTTCAAACCACTCCATGGCAGTATATATTCTCTCACACTGGCTAGGTGTAGGGGAACAGCACAGTCTAAAGAACTGTATATGATCCCACTACTCATTCATACTTAGAAAATATTTAGGTACCTTCCAAATATGAGCAAATCAAAAAACCTACCTGAGAAGCACTGCAATATATATTGTACTTCTATTCAGAATTATATGGTGGCAAAAAGTCTTGTAAACTTCATAATGGCTGTCTTAGGAGAAAATTTCTCAACCTCAACATGTACACTTGTATTCACACAAAAATCTCATGCAGTAATACTACTTTTGGACTGAGATGATTGAGGTAAGACAAGCAATACTGACTAAATATACCACTACCAAGTACACTACTAGTGCTGTCATTTTTTCTAAGCTTACACTTTTAATAGTAAATTGTACACTAGGTACAGTGGACCTTTGACTTACAAACTCAATCAGTTCCTGAAAGCTGATTGTAGCTGAGTCAATACAGCTGAGATCTGGATGTTTACCTGGATACACTCTGTAAATAACAAGAGGCAGATGGATCTTCCATTAACCTAATTAAGCCAAGTTGTTCATGTCAGGCTGGTTGTAACGTGAGTGTCCACTGTACTATTTTCCTATTGTGTCCTCTAGGTAGTAAACGAGGTATATATTATGGTCTCTATTTTACAGATAATCAAATCTAGGTGCAAGGTACTAAAATAATTTTCCCACAATATTTAGCCAGTCAGGAAAATGATCAAATATTCAATCATTATCTATTTGATAGAAAAGCTGATAGTCACTACTTTACTGAATTATCATCTGTAATGTCAATGCTTAAAAATAAGGAAGGCACTATGTAGAAGATGGAATGATTACATGATGAAACATTCTGTACACATTTGAAACATATTCATAACTCATTAAATCAAATAAAACTAAGCATAGTGATCTAAATTTTGTTCTAAACAGAGAGTGTAGGATAGGGCAGAGTCACTTATATATGGCTGCAAATCCAAATCATTTTTTCCTTTCATTTTACTCCTCAGGATGTAGGAACACTGTATCTGTATTTATTCTGGTTCTTATAAACCTCATTCGAGTCCTCTCTTCTCATTTCACTATAGAAAATGTGGAGATCATCAGTTCACCTAAATTACACAAAGTATGGTGGAGCATTCAAGAGACTGGAATGATGAGTGACTATGTAAAACAGCTGCTACCAACGTGCAGCAAGGATATGATGTGAATTAAGAACAAACCACTATTTTGTAATCCCCTGAAGTTTGAGCATTGACACTGCAAGAGAACTTAGCTCATTCTACAACTACCTATTTTCTTCCTATGTTTACACATACACACACTTCACAGGAAATATGCACCAAAATAACATTCTTTTAAATTTTTGATATATTATTTAGTTCTTTATGCTCTTCTAAATTTTTCTGTAAAAATATCTGTTTCTTATGTCATTAAATTTTTTAAAAGTTGTCTATACATATTTTGTAGTTATTAATGAGGATGGACTCAATTCAGAAAGTTTTTCAACTGTTTTTGGGTAATTTTTCAAATTTTTTTCTCTCAGCATTATATAGGTTTCATATTTCTGCTCAGCCATTCTATTACTTGAGGTTTTTAATATGTACTAATCAACATTTATGTCCTTCTTGGATCAAAAAATTTTTCTTTTTTCCCCATGGTATTTTATTAACCCCTTCAACTATTACAACATTTATTTGGTATATTTCAAGTTTTGTTTAAAAACTATACATTTTTTATTGACCTCAACTACATACAGAGATATTTTTATTAGAAACTTTCCTTATAGATTTTAATGCTTTATGTAAGTCCAAGTATACCTGTGACCCCCCCCCGAATGCTCATGATTTATGCCCATGAACATGAAGATCTTAATTATAATTCTCACATTTTATTAAGGAACTATTCAAGTGCTATATATTGACAAGTTAAACATGAGGAACCAAATGAGAGGGAGAAAGCATTTCTTGATAAGGAGAAAGGTGAGTCAATACTGTATCAAATGGGTCTCCAGGAGACTCTTGAGAACCAGGTATTGATTACTAATACTTCTCAGAATCAATTAACTGATCAGTGGTATTTCCTGAAAAATTATTTTTAAATAATTTCTCATTGAACCAGTTTTTAACCATTTCAAGTCCTTTTTGCATTTATGGGTGTGCATTTATGTGGCTGTGTCAGTGTTTCTGTGTGAGGTTAAAAAAAACCATGGAATGAAAATATAAGGGATTACAATCAAGTGAAGAAAGCCATTTACCAGCTGGATTTCATTTTTCATGAGCTGGGACAACAACAAATAGCTCAACCTTGCATAATCCTGAACTCAACCAAACAAAACACTATAGGAGAACTCCCTGGTCTCTGAGCATCTTTTGGTTTACAGACAGTTGAAGAACAATAATCCTTCATCAAACACACAAATAATATCGGGAACTATGGGTTTTTGGTTTATCTGTATCACTCTATAGCTACCAGCACCCCAAAACAACTTGGGTCCACCTTCTCTAGAGTATCATACTACTGAATTTACAAAGGTCTGTACTGTTTCATAAGTAGAAAAGAAAGTATATCTTAAGGAAACATTTAATTGCAATCCTTGAAAAATTGGCTACCTTTTATGAAATATCCTGTTCTCATAAATGAGAAAAGGAAAAAATGGAAACAAAGTCTTCGTAAATAGGAAGGGCAGGGGAACGGGGGGAAAAACCGAAGATATACGATGTAAAGATAAAAATTCCCAATGATGAATGTCATCATACTGTATACCTAAAATGTACAGAAAGAAAGAAAAGAAAGAAAGATCCTGAAGTCATAGTTTAGGGGAACGGGTAGTCAGAGCTGAAGATTTTCTAATAAATCTTAACAATAAGGTTTCTATCTTGTAAAAATATCCCCTTTCAAGGCGGGCATCTGTCCTTACCCTCTGTTTCACAAAATTGAAAATCAACATGGAAAGTGAGCCATTCTTCTCTAGTCTCAGAATCCCACAGTCACTTTAGTTGTCATTTTACCTTGATTTATTTTTAAAACCTTTGGCGAGCTCTATTTTACATCTTCTCCATTCTTCATCAGTGCTCTCTTACAGGTAGCCATACACATCAACAGAGCCTCCCAGATGGAACACAAGAAACGACAACACACAAACAAAACGTCCTTCGAGATGTAGTTTGCAAACTCTTCCTTGTTTGCTGCCTACTGTCTGCTTTAAATAAAGCACGAATCAGCTTCAATACCATGGAAATAATCAACACAGTATCAAAACCTGGAGTTTCTCGTGGAGCACAAATCAAAAGCTGTAGGAATCCAACAGCTGGAGCCTGTCTCATTATTTCCCTGTTCTTTGATGTGCCTTTCAGCCAAGTATCTTAGAGAATTACTTGCAAATATGTCTGTCTACAAATTCTACATTGCTTACATATTATAGTTTCCAACAGAGATAAATACTGTAACTGAGTTCTTATTTTCAAAATAGAACCCCCTCTTTTTCATCTTCTATTATGCCCACAATCTTGTAAATGGCAGAACTGAAAATCAGCTGCATCTAATAAGAGAATCAAGTTTGTTATTGACTCTGAGATGCTAGTTTCCATTAGATCATCCATCGTAGCTTTATTATGTGATCAACTGCCTAATTAATTTTGTACTGGGGTATTTAGATAGAACACTGAATGTTTCAGTGGGGTTTTGATATAATCCTGCACCTGCGGCCTCAGAGATTTAGATATCCTCCTATCATAAGTTTGTACTGTGCCTATAATCACTTCTGCTTCACTAGGATTCCAGCAATTCAGTCCAGTAAAATTCAGCAATATTAATTTCAGAAACACCAGAACATTTGCATCTGTGGTATGTTTCTTTGGACTTTAATCAGATCAAAGTCACTGAAAGATATTAAGAGCACTAGATACAATATTTTGTTCAGACAGTTTTAGTGGTTAAATCAGACACTGTTTTGATTTTCTGTGCTTATCTGTTAATATGAACAGATGCAATCATGCTATTGTATAATGACTCTTGATTGCCAGAAGTATTTGATTTTGCAACCATTTCGTAGTGATAATTAAAGATAACGGGATATCCTATACAGTAATAATTAAAGATAGGTTTGTGGGCTTTATCACATGAATAAATGCCATGCAGGAAGAATTGGTTCTCTAAAGTTCATTATGCAATGCATATTTTTGGAAGGCCAAATTTGAAAAGTCTCAAAAAGAGACATTTATGTGCAATATATTTAGCTAAACCTGAGCCCATTTTAAATTTCTCACTTGTCCTGGTTGCCACATGTTGAGGTATTGTTCTTTATTTATTCAGGAAAAGATCACCAAGCATGTGCTGCTCAGAAGATGGCAAAAGACAAGAGTAAAATAATATGGAATTATGTCTTCCACACATAAATAGGCATTCCTAAATGTACATATGAAGAATATTTAATCAGTCTTCAATTGGAGAAGAGGTAATAAAACCTGTGACAGCTTGGCTTTATTCTATGGCTGCAAGGTGACATTTCAGAAGGCAGACAAGCTGTCTCACAGGACATGATCCCTCCCAGGACTGAAGCTGAAGTAAATTGTTTTATTAACTATTTTTGTTAATTTGAAATGATGACTGGCTGTCACAAAAGGTAATCTTTAAAAGAAGGCCATCTCTGGGCCTGTCTGAGGACACCTGCCTCTAGGAATACAGAGCTTACAAAGGTATGGGTGCCCTATCAAGTACAGGAAATGCAACTGAATTTAACTTTCAGATTTAAAAATATTATCCCTTACCTGAAATTCAGATCCAACTCTACGTCCTGTATTTGTATTTGTTAAATTTGCCATCCCTACATAAACATCTATAGTTTCTGACAACCAGATTTCTGAGTATCTGCTGTATTTTCCTAAATCACACTTGAGAGAATAGACTTGATGTCTAGAGCAAAGTTTGGAGTGATAGCATAAAGAATTCTCAGGAAAAACCAAGTAAGTCCAGAGACCTAGAAATAGCCCCATAGGTTCCCTGTGTGAGGGAGCAACCATGCACTTCATATCTCCATATCTTTCCTCCCTTCTTTTGCCTCTCAATGCTTAAATACCCAGCATTTGATAATGCTGTTGGTGAAAAAGAAGAGAAACAATTGGAACATTAGTTTAAGTGTCTTTAATCAGGATTCTATTAAACTTCAGTGGACCCGTGACTCACAAACTCAATTAGTTCATGAGGGCTGGCTGTAACTCTAGTTGGTCAATTGAAGGCTCAGGCTCCTCTACAGTCTTCAGAGTTTCTCTCCTGTATACGGGCAGATCTCAGTGTCCTTAGAGAGATATTGGCCCAGGATATCTCAGTTGAGCCCACACAAGGAAAGACTGTTTGAATGATCCTTCCAGAACTCTGTAAGGGTTAAATCTTTATCTCAGACCATCTGGAAGAACAAACAGCCAGCATTTGAAGGTCATAATTCAAGACTTTGGTCCTAACTTAAAATTAAAACTCTGTTCATAACCCAACTTGTTCATGTGTCGGGCCAGTTGTAACTTGAGTGTCCACAGTTATCAGAAAAGAAAACTGTAATTTTTATTAGCTTCTTAAGTGGGTGGATACTAAACAAAATATCCCACTAGACTACAACTTTACCAATCTGAAATAGTTATGGATTTTGCAGTCTTCTTCTTCTCTAAACCATATCCTAATTAGATTTTTACTCAGAATATCTTTTTAACTAAATTAAAGGAAGGATAAAGTATGATTATTCCTAGGTGTCTGCTGGGCATGGGTTCCAGGACACCACAGATAATAAATCTACAGATATCAAAGTCCTTTATATTGAAATCCCAGCAGCATACTTCACAGACCTTCAGAAAACAATCCAAAACTTCATTTGGAACAAGAAGAGACCCAGAATAGCAAAAGTAATTCTAGGCAACAGAGATATGGCAGGGGGTATCACAACACCCAACTTGAAACTATACTACAAAGCTACTGTGATAAAAACAACATGATACTGGCAAAGAAACAAACCCGAGGACCAGTGGAACAGATTAGAAGATGCAGAAACAAGTCCAGACACAGTCAGCTAGCTCATCTTCGACAAAGGAGCCAAACACCCTCACTGGAGGAAAGATAGCCTCTTTAACAAATGGTGCTGAAAAAATGGGGTTTCAACTTGCCAAAGATTAAAACTAGACCTATATCTCTCACCGTGCACTAAACTAAAATCAAAATGGATTAAAGATCTAAATATTAAAACAGAAACGCTGAACCGGCTGGAACAGAGGTTAGGTAGAACTCTTGAAGACATTGGTGTAGGAAAAGATTGTATGAACAAAACCTCAGTTGCCCGTGAACTAGCACAAACAATCAACAAGTGGGATCTCTTCTTATTAAAAAGCTTCTGCACAGCAAGAAAAACCACCAGCAATGTGAAGAGACAACCCACAATGTGGGAAAAAATTTTCACCAGCTGTTCCTCAGACAAAGGTCTGCTATCTAGAATCTATAAAGAACTTAAAAAAATCAGACCTCCCAAATTTAAAGACCCAATCCAAAAATGGGCATCTGAAATGAACAGACATTTCTCAGACAAAGAAGTAGAAATAGGAAGAAAAGGGGCAAAAGGGAAGGGGAAGTGGGAGGGGTAGGGGAAAGGAAAGAAGGGAATGGGATTAATATGAGAAAATGAAAAAATGGAAACAAAGTCTTTGTAAGTAGGGAGGGATGGAGGGGTTCAGTGGAGGGCAGGGAAATGGGGAAAAATAAGAACCAATAGAATGGCACAGTACTGGCATATATTATAGCCTACATTATCCTCCCATGATCTTCAAGTTATCTCTAGTGGGAAAGGAATCAAGAGATCGAGGGAGTGGGCAGGGCAGGGTATGGAAAAAGGAATTGAGGTTTGTTAGGTATATGGGACAACTTCATACAAGAAAGGTAAACATTATGTATTTCAAACATGTACTAATAAAAATAAAAAATAGATTACTCATGAATATATGCAAATGCTATGTACATCATTGCTATAATATATTGCTAAGGGAATGATGATGAGAAAATGTCTATGTTTCAATACAGATGGAGTTTTTTCTGAATATTTTTGATCTAAAGATGGTGAAATCAACAGACATGTAACCCATGGGTACAATAAGCAAATTACCTCTATGTGTTCTGCAGTTAGCTGATAAGACAAGCTAAAATATCACAAAAAGATAAAGAGGGCAAGAAATTTGGTAAGAAGCATGATATTTTTCTATACACAAGTTGTGACCCAAAGAAAGAAGCTCTCATTTGCAAATCTCTAACTTAAGAATGTAAATTTGTGTATAAGTGAATGGTGGTAAAATGTCTGGGTCAAAACACAAAAATAAGTGCACTTTCAGGTGTCAGCTATGTGACTTTGAAGATACTACTGAATCACTTCCAGTGGTAGCTCCCAGTTCTATACAACCTGTATATAAATGAAACATGGATGGAAGCTTATTTGAGCAGCACAAGACATGGTGCACTTAGTGCAATACAGATCCTAGCAAATATAATCTGGTCAATTAAAATAAACTATGCCCTTATAGATAGTATTTGATTTATTTTAACAGATGCAAAATTTTTAAATACAGAGCACAATTTTGGAAGGGTTTTGACAATTGTTGCTAAATATTTTTATTCTTCAGAGCAGATAGTAAATGAACTTGACAAAGGCAAAAATGCAACATTCAAGCAAAGCTTTAACTAGTAGAGATTTTCAGCATGAGGAAGAGTGGAATGCATGGAATATATATTCTATGAATATTAGCATTTTGATGTGACAGGTTTATGACATAAGGAATGTGTGATTTAAAACATAAGTTTTTACAGATTCCAGTGGAGTCAGCTTTGCTATACGGCTAGTTTTGAAGATCCAAATTTGACCCAATGCAATTGGTACACTACAGAGCAATTTGAGTATAATGTGAAGCATGTTTATTTAGAGATGATTTCATCTGTGTGAAATGCTAGGTGAGAACACAAAACTGAAGACAGCACTCACTGAGCTGACCTAATCTTGAAAGGAAAACACAGACGTTACCAGATACCAAACATCTTCCAAGCTTTGCCATCTCCATGCAGGACTCACTTATTCTGTTTTTGCATTACAGTTTTCCATCTGATTGCAGGTAACTTTCCTTCCACCACCTCAGGGTGTCAAGCTTCATCTCTTCTGACACTTCGTTCCAC